CGCCGAGCTGGATGAGATGGGTGCTGAGGCTCTGCCCCGACGGACACCCGCTCCCGCCTGGCTGCCCACTGCCAAAGGTAAGGGGGTCCCCAGCGTCGTCACCCCGCTGTCCCCCGTTGGGGTGGAGCTGCCCACCCTGCCCTGCTGTTCCCCATGGAGTCGCTCTGGGATGCCCACCCTGCTCCGCTGTCCCCTATGGGGTCAGTCTGGGATGCCCACTCTGCCCCGCTGTCCCTTGTGGGGTCGATTCAGGATGTCCACCCTGCCCTGCTCTCCCCTGTGGGGTCGGTCCGGGATGCCCACCCTGCCCCACTGTCCCTTGGGTCGGTCCGGGATGCCCACCCTGCCCCGCTGTCCCTCATGGGGTCAGTCCAAGGTGCCCACCCTGCCCTGCTGTCCCTCGTGGGGTCGGTCTAGGATGCCCGCCATGCCCCGCTGTCCCTTTGGTCAGTCCAAGATGCCCACCCTGTCCAACTGTCCCTCGTGGGGTTGGTCCAGGATGCCCACCCTGCCCTGCTGTCATGCCCTATGGGGTCAGTCTAGGATGCCCACCATCCCCAGTGGGAGCATCCCGGGCTGAGCACGTGCCCCGCTGTCCCCCACACAGGTGAGGAAGGCGACTTCTGCCTGCGCTCTTCGGACTGCGCGGCCGGGCTGTGCTGCGCCCGTCACTTCTGGTCCAAAATCTGCAAACCGGTGCTGCGGGAAGGGCAGGTGTGTACCCGGCACCGACGGAAAGGCACCCACGGCCTGGAGATCTTCCAGCGGTGCCAGTGCGCTGAGGGGCTGGCGTGTCGCCTCCAGCGAGAGCACGGCCCCGCCGACGCTTCCCGCCTGCACACCTGCCAGCGGCACTGAGCAGCGCCGGGATGGATGGACGGACAGGACGGGACGGACTCCGGCCCCCGCCGGAGCAGAAGGTTGTTTCTCAAGGGAACTACTTTTAAGCGACTAATTGCAGTACGTTACTGTGTTGTGAATACTCGAGCTGGCACTTAGCTGTACATAACGCCGGGACTTTTAGTGACTTTTACTTTTTTTTGTTGTTTGTTTTGGGTTTTTTTTATTTTCCGAGGGTGCTGCCTTGTGCTCTTCAAGCCGTGACTGTGACTTTGTACACACTGGGTTTTTAAATCTGGGTCAAAGGGATGCGACCGTCTGTTTGCAAGCGAATAAACCGTTCTTTAAAAACCAAACCCCAGCTGCCTGTGCGCATCCCTCCCTGCTTGCGTGTGGCCGGTGTGATCCCTACCCAAGGGGACATGTGCCCCAGGGTGGGGGAAATGCCCAAAAAGAGGAAGGGGGAGTGGGGTGGCTCATCACAGACACCCCATGGGAAGGGATGTTTGGTTATCGCTTTATTCACCTGCTCTTTAGGAATTACCGTGTGCCACGATAGCCACTCCGGCCACCGGACGTGGGGCCAAGGATGGGTGCCATGGGAAGCAGCAAAACACCCTCCTGCCTGATTTTTCCCCATGGGGTGAGGAGGGGAGCAAAGGGTGACTGGAGGGGCTGTGCCGGACTGTGGCACACTGGACCGACGGTGGGAGGGGTGCTGAGGAGCGCAGTGATCTCAACAGCTCCATCAGTGCAATCATCTTTGCTCCCTGCGCAATAAAGACTTATTTTTCACTTCACAGCCTGTTAGCTCTGAGTTTGCTCCTTCTCGGGGTGGCTTGGAGGGAGGGAAAGCTGCAAGCACGTGTTGGTTTTTTTTTTCCCACC